AAAAAAAAAAAAAAAAAAAAAAAAAAAACCCAGAACAAAACCAAAAAAAATCTAAATTTAACTGAAAAAAAATATTTAGACTCTGTATAAGTTATTTTCAGAGAAAAGAAATGTGCTTTTAGAATTTGCAGGTTATAAATTCCTAATCTAAAAATCCAGAATTCAAAAATGCTTTAAAATCCAAAACTTTTTTTTTTTTTTAATGGGTTTTTAAGACAGGGTTTCTCTGTGTAGCCTTGGAGCCTGTCTTGTCTGGAACTCTATAGACCAGGCTGACCTGAACACATAGAGATCTGCCTCCTAAGTCCTGGGATTAAAGGTGTGTGCCAGAACCGCCTGACCAAATCCAAAACTTTTTGAGTATTAAAGAAATGGTGTTCTGAAGTTTCAGATTTCAGAGTATTTTTGATAGTAGATTTTCATGTGTGTGCTCAGTTGACAAGTTATAGATAGTCTCCAATCCAGAAAATCAAGAGATAAGAATATATCTAGTTTTAGGCATTTTGGATAAGCCATGCTAGCCCATGTCAGCTGTTTTAGGAAGAGGAGTGTATGTGACAGGCTACCTATCCAGTCTTTTTGCTCTACCTTTCTGAGTGCTTTTTTTTCTTTACCGCTAAGTGGCAGTTGTTATAAAATGACCTTGTTTCTCTCTGCCATCCTTTCCAGCTGAATTGCCCTTAATTGATTTGATGAAATTGTATGAAGGTGCCTTTTTGCCAAATTTTCAGTGGCCACAACCTGAACCTGATCATGAGGAGTCAAGCGGGGAAGAGGGTATGTTTTTAGTGTTAAAGAATGCAGGTTTAAAATGAAAGCCAAAATAAATATGTAAAATAAGATGTAAGAAATTGGTGGTATTGGACCCAAGGACAGGTTCTTCAGTTCATGTTAATTATGGCAGGAACTTTGGGCTTTGGATAGGATAAAACCTGTGTTGTAACTGTAAACAAAGAACAAGTGAATTTGAGCCAAGAAAAAAAAGAAGTATATTTTATATGCAGTTTTCCAATTGAATAAGTTTTAAACTCTGAGGTTTTTACTTATTAACGTGCTATCTTTACCAGAGCACTGGGTAAACTGTGGAGGATCTAGAAATATTTTTTCTAGATGTGTGTTGTGGTTTATGAGCCTAAGCATTGTCTTGTTTTTCTGGACTCTGCTGTGCTTGCTTATTAACTTGAAGGCTTTTAGTGGTTGGTTTTACTTATTAGGCATTCCAGACAGTCATTCTAATTCTTTTGCTTTTATTAGGTAGATATAAGATGTGAGGACATGTGTCAGTTGTTAGAGGGTCTCCTGTAGAATTCAGGGCCTTTTACAGTCCCCTTCTGCAGCAAGACCTAGGGTCAGATACAAAGACTTCTTCCTTGTTTCCAAACTTGTGTGATGTTTCTAATTTTTCCTCTTCTTTTGATGGTAGTAGAAGGGAGATCATTAAAACCTCAGATACTCGTCTGTCCATGTTATTGGCTCCCAATCAACAGAGACATTTCCTAACCACCAGGCTGTTGGGGCAGATTATGCTTTGAGTCCCAGATATAGTTGATTGTGGTGTTTCCTAAGAATTATTCATGTAATTGTGGATGTATAAAATGGATTGCAATGAAAAAAAATGTATCAATTATTCTGTATTCTTTCTTGTTGTTCGTTCCTCTCCCCTCCCCCGTTCTTTCTATGTTTAGGCTCCTAAAACCCACAGCAGTTCTAGTTCTGTTTCATTGTTTTTCTAGATGTGGAAGACTGTCCTGGTGACAGGGAGAGCCGGAGGGACTCAGTTCTCATTGACTCACTCTTCATCATGGATCAGTTTAAAGCTGCAGAGAGAATGAGTATTGGAAAATCTAACACCAAGGACATCACAGAAGTTACTGCTGTGGCGGAAGCTGTCCTCCCTAAGGGCAGTGCCCGGGTCACAACTGCGGTGAGGAAATCTTTTCTGCCTCCCAACAGGCTCCATAGAAAATTGCTAGAAAAGATAATTGCTATTCTTCTGTTCTGTAAATCATTTGGGACTGTATAGGTGTGTTATACAGCCTCTGGATTTAGGCTCTGAGAAGGTGTGCTAATTGCTTAGTCATTCCTTAACTGGTCTGTCTGTCACTATAGGTGAAGTTTAGTGCTCCATCTTTGCTGTATGGTGCTCTCCGAGACTATCAGAAGATAGGACTTGACTGGTTGGCCAAGCTATACCGGAAGAATCTCAATGGCATATTAGCTGATGAAGCTGGGCTCGGGAAAACTGTGCAGATCATTGCTTTCTTTGCTCACCTTGCCTGTAATGAAGGTAAGAGTCTCTCAGTTTTCCACCAGCAGTGTTGGATCTGAGGGAGAAGACCTTTTCAGTCTCTTCTGCTCAGAGTAGGTCCTTGCCATGTTGCAGGAAAAATTGACCTGACTTATCATCCTTGTATTGGGCTTTTATTGTTATTTGCCCTTTGTATTAAAAAGTTTAATTATATAATTAGTTTTTATTCTTATTTATTTTTGTATATGTGTGTTTGTCTGTGTGAATGTATGCCCTGTGGATTTTGTTGCCCATGGGAACATTGCAGAGGTAGTTGTGAGTCATGTGATGTGGGCACTGAGAACCAAATTCAGGTCCTTGGAAGACCTCTTCACTCTTCACTGCTAAGCTGCTTCTCAGGCCCACAGTCCGTCCGTCCGTCAGTCCATTCATCCATCCTCCCTCCCTCTCCTCTCTTTCTTTATGTGTATGTCCATATATATGTATATGTGGCCATTTGTCAAGATCAGAGGACAGCTTGTAGAGTTTGTTCTCTGCTTCTACTATGTGGGAATCAGATTGAATTCAGGTCTGCAGGCTCAGTGGCAAGTGCCCTCACCATTTATCTCTGCCTCAAGTTCTGGTATGAAAGGCTTGTACCACCATGCCCAGCTGGTATCACCATGGCTTAAATGTATTTTAAAGTAGATGCACATATATAATTGTTAATTCAAGATGGGACAAAAAGTACTCTGCCTTTTTTATTGTTTAAGGGGAAAGGGTGTTAAATGTTTTACTATATTTACAAGTCTACGCTATCTTCAGGAGACATGTTCTAATACCCCAGTGGGTGCTGAAATCCTGAACCATACTATGTTTCATTTGAAGTTCAGAACTTAACTGAAAATAAGCATATAAAAGTGTCTTTTTTGGCATGCTCAAAGTGCCAGCTTCCTCATTAGGACTATTACTGAGTGTCACTTGAACAAGCCCTGGATCTAATAACCAGTGTTTCTACCAGGTGCTATTGAGCAGGTGGCATGTACAGTGTGGATAGAATAGACAAAGGGATTGCCCCATTTCTCAGAATATGCTTAGAATGGTGTGCAAATTAAAATTTATGAATTCTTTATTTCTCGAATTTCACAGTTAACATTTAAGACAATGATTAACTGTGTGTTACTAAAATTTTAAGTTTTACTATGGTACTACGTAGTTAGAAGTGATTGTCTTTCTAAAGTAGGAGTGTTCATATTGTTAGTTGTGAGGGGAATGAGTAGGTGAACCTGCAGGAGTTTTAGGCAGGACAAGGAAGTCCATCACACTGTATGTGAGGGAACCAGGGAACTAGAGCCATGGGTGTGGGGCTGGAATGCAGTGGTACACTCAGAGATAGTGCAGTAGATAGGTACAGTTGGAAAGGTGGTAAATGTCCATGTGGAAGGAGGGTGGAAGTCTTTGTGCACATGTGACTGTTTCAGCCAGAGGATAGTGTCATTACAGGCCTAGGTTGGGAGGGCTTGTTTACTTTGCTAACAGCTGCTGATGTCAGAAGGGATAGGCTATATGGAGTCTGGTGTACAAAGGGGACACCACATCTCATTGTGGATGGTTGTGAGCCACCATATGGTTATTGGGAATTGAATTCAGGAACTCTGGAAGAGCAGCCAGTGCTCCTAACCTCTGAGCCATCTATCTCTCTGGTACTCACCTTTCATCCTCCCTCCCTCCCTCCCTCCCTCCCTCTATTTTTCTTTGTTTGTTTGCTTTTTGAGACAGGGTTTCTATGTATCCTTGGCTGTTCTGAAACTCAGTTTGTAGACCAGGCTGACCTCAAACTCAGAGATCTGCCTGCCTCTGCATCCGAAGTGCTTGGATTAAAGGTGTGCGCCTCCACCGCCCAGCTGCCCAGCTGCCCTTTTTTTTTTTTTTTTTTTTTCCCCCAAAGGTTTCGAGACAGGAGACTGTACTGGAATCACTCTGTAGACCAGACTAGACTCGAACTCACAGAGATCCTCCTGCTTCTACCTTCCGAGTGCTGGAATTAAAGGTGTTTGCCACCATTACCTGGGCCTTTTTTTCTTCTTAAAGACTTATTGTTATGTGTCTCTGTCTGTGTTTGAAGACCAGAAAAGAGTGTTGGTCCCTTGGAACTGGAGTTGCAGGTGGTTGTGAGCCACCTAACATGGGAGCCAGGAACTGAACTCTGGTTCTCTGCAAGAACAGCGTGTTCTCTTAGCCACCTTTCCAACTCCTTCCTTCCTTCCTTCCTTCCTTCCTTCCTTCCTTCCTTCCTTCCTTCCTTCCTTCCTTCCTTCCTTCCTTCCATTCATGCTGGGGATTGAATTCAGGGCCTCGTGTGTGCTAGGCAAGGCTTTTCTAGTGTTCCACATGCTTAGTTCTACCCATTACTAATTTTTTATGTTTTACGTATATGAATGTCTATATAGCACATGGATGCCTGGTGCCCATAGAGGCCAGAAGAGGCATATACTCTCCTGGAACTGGAGTTAAAATCATCTATGAGCTGCCTTGTGGGTGCTGGGAACCAAACCTAGGTCCTGTGTAAGAACAATAGTGCTCTCCCACTCTAGGTTTTTAATCCTATTTTACTAGAGAAAGGCATTTTGGGTTTGGTCATGTTTCCTTACTTGTAAGGTTGTATGTTTAGAGTTTAAAGATTGAATTTTAATTTTTAAATTATGTGTATGTTGGTGTCTGTGTGTAGGTATGTGTGTTTGTGTATGGGTACCTCTCAAGGCCAGAGGTGTTAGATCTTCCTGGAGCCGCCTGATTGTATGTGCTGGGAATCAAACTTAGGTCTCTGGAAGAGCCGTCTCTCTGACCTGTTGTTTAGATAGATCCTGCCTTGATCCTTAGCACTAACCACCAAAAGGACAAAAATTATTGACTTCTGATAAATTTTTTTCTCTGAAACTTCTATTGAAATGGTGGTTTTCTCTTGAACACTTTCTTTTCAGAACCAGCAGGGATGCTTCAGCAGTGGCCACAGATAGGTGAAATGTAGCATTACTTTAAATCAGCTATTTCTGTCTTTGACCCTTAATTGTATTCATTTCATTTATGACACAGAAATTGAAGTTTGTTTTCTGGGTTACACCTTCTGACTTGTAAAATGCTGTTTTCAGACTAAGTTTGATCACTGGGTCCATTGGATATTTCTCTACCTAGAAGTGCCTAAGGAGGTACCTGTCTGTCTGGACTGCAGGTCATTTGCTACTGGGAAGGTTCAATCAGGGTCTGAGGTCCCACGTCAGGAGCTGTCTTGTTTTGGATTGTTGTTTGCCATAGACAGAAGTTCTTTTTTTGTTGTTAGTAGTTTGTTTCTTAAGATAAGGTCGCACTGTCCAGTTTTGGCTGACCTAGAACTCATAAAACTCTGCCTGCCTCTGCTGGGATTAAAGGCATGCACCACCACACCTGGAACAGACAAGAGTTTTTTTCTCTGGCTCATGATAAAAGTTCATATGGTTGTCAGTGGATCCTGGTTTTCTTTTTGTCTGTTCTTTTCATCACTGTTTCTGGAGAGCCTGTCCCCTGTTACAGTGCAGCAGGGATGCACCTGCCCCTATTCTGGGCAGTGTATCTATGCTGGAGGATAGTTTTTGTTTCCTTGGTATTCGCTTTTCCCCATGGGCCACATACTTACTAAGCTAATCAAACTCAGCTTTAGGCACCTGGATCTCATATCTTTTTATCTTATTTTATAGGTAATTGGGGCCCTCATCTTGTTGTCATGAGGAGTTGTAACATACTCAAGTGGGAACTTGAGTTGAAACGCTGGTGTCCTGGCCTCAAAACTCTTTCTTATGTTGGCAGCCACAGAGAACTCAAAGCAAAGAGACAGGTACTGCCACCCAACCTCTACCACCCTCTCTCTTAGTTTATTTTGCATTGCTGGGGATCCGCCCAAGTTTCACATATTCTAGACAAGAGGTGTGCCAGTGAACACCCTTAGCCAAGCATCTTTTAAATACGATATACAGTGGCTGAAGAGATGGCACAACAGATAAAAGAACTTGCTATACAAGTCTGACAACCTAATTTTGATCGTTAAAAGTTGTCTGAAGGTTTAAAAGAGAAAACCAACTCCATAACGTTCTCCTCTGACCCCTACATGTGTGTTGTGGTGCACACATGCCTACACAGACATATCTCACACATGTCCCACAATAATAATTAAGCTTGAAATAAAGCTAGATATCTTAATTTTTCTTAACATAGAATCTCCTTATGTAGCTCAGGCTGCCTTCAACCATTCGATCTTCCTGCTTCAGCCATGTGAGTACTTTACATGCTGCTTAATGTGATTATTTGTATCATTGACTTTTTTTTCATTTTTATTTATTATACAGTGTTCTACCTGCCTGTACACCTGCACTGCAGACCAGAAGAGGGCACTAGATCTTATTATAGATGGTTGTGAGCCACCATGTGGTTGCTGGGAAATTGAACTCAGGATCTCTGGAAAAGTAGCCAGTGTTCTTAACCTCTGAGCCATCTCTCCAACCCCAATAACATTTATTTGTAAGCTACCAAATATATATGTGGTTCTAGAATTTGAGTCCTTAGAAACATAGAGGACACAGGGTGGACACCCAGTTCCCTGGGTGAAAGATGCTTAGACTTTAGGCCCCATTTGCCCTCGGGGCTGCATATGTAGTAGAGTGCTTTCTTGGCATGTGCGGACTGAGTTCACTTCCCAGTAATGTAAGGAAAATAGTTCAGAAATGAGTTCTTGTCTGGAGAGAGAGTGCAGTGCTTCCGGCCTCAAGACTGTGCTAATTTTCACAAGCTTAATGGAGTGTGTGAGTTCTCCTGAGTTCTTAATAGTTTCTGTGGATTATTCACAGGAATATTTGTGACAGATAAAAGTTTCCTTTGGCCCCTAATACTAAATAGTGCCAGGACCCAAGTGAATGTGTATAGATTAGTTTCCATTATTTGAAATTTTGGCTCAGGATTAAGACACTACGTCAAGTAAAATTTATTAAGGGTGGGTCTTTAGGCACATTTCCTCTTTTACAATCTGTCTTGGTCTTTTTCTCCTGCTGTTAAAAATACAAAGCAAAACAATCTCCTCCAAAAAACACCACAGAGAAGATAATTATAAAGAGCAGAAATGGATTGCTTGAAGTTCTAGAGATTGGAAGTCTTAAGGCCAAGTTTCAGATAGGTTTGACATCTGGCAAGGGCTTGTTTTCATCATCGAAGATGACACTTTTCTTGTTGTGTGCTTACTTGGGGGAAGGCAGAAATGCAGAATGGTTTCACTTGGATCTTTGCTACCTTTTCATAAAGCTCTGACTTATACTTAGGGACTGAGAAGGTCCGACTCTTAATATTGCCACAGTGGGAATCCAGTTCACCATAGTTTTAGAGGGGATGCATTAGACCATATTCCATTCTACACTTGCTTTAAATATCTTGTTGCAGTTAGTTGCCATGTAGACATCTGCATTTCTTACCTTCCTTGTTTAGATTATACACTATAAAAACCAGAATTGTCTGTGGTAATCTGTTTTCCCAGTGAAAATTTCTATGTCTTTTAAAGCAGCCTAATTTGTCATTGAAAGGTTCTAGAAGAACAGAGAAGAATAAGAATGCCTTGAACTTTTTCTTGTGTAGTTGTTATGAAGAATAGGTCGGATTGCTGGTGATGTGTGTAGCTTGTCTGAGTGATTGCCCAGCAGTGCTCTTCAGATGGTTTCAGGGAAGACAGGGGGCTTCTTTCTGTATTGCAGGAGTGGACTGAGCCCAACAGCTTCCACATCTGCATCACGTCCTTTAAGCAGTTCTTCAGGGGCTACACTGCCTTCTCAAGGGTGCACTGGAAATGCCTTGTCATTGATGAAATGCAACGGGTGAAGGGCATGACTGAGCGGCACTGGGAAGCCATCTTCAAGCTGCAGAGGTCTGACCTCACTCAAGTGTTCTGTCCTTTCCAAATCTCCAAGTGTTCTTTGTTCTTACCTAAAGATTCTTAAACTTGAATCATTGTATACATATATTAATTTAGTGAAGAGAAATTTCCTTCTTCTTTGTCATAGCGTGTTGGACCTGAGACAGAGTTCCTTTGTCAGTCCTTTTCTTTTGAGGTAGGGTCTTACTATAAAGTTATGGCTAGCCTGGGCTCTGTTTGTAAGCCAGGCTGGCCTTTGTATTTAGAAGTCTGCCTGCCTCTGATCCCACCCCTTTCTCCAAGTGCTGTGTGTCCTACTGTGCCTGTCCATTCTTGAAGGCATTGTATAGTTGCTGTCTTCACTTTCCTCCACACATTGCCAAGGAGAAGAGTTATGTAGCCTCCTTGTGTGTTTCAGAGTTCAAACATTGTTTCGTTTTGTTTGTAGCCAGCAGCGCCTGCTTCTGATCGATGTGCCTCTGCATAACACTTTCCTGGAGCTCTGGACCATGGTACACTTTCTCATTCCTGGGATCTCCAGGCCTTACCTGAGCTTCCCCCTGAAAGCTCCCAATGAGGAAAACCAGGATTACTATCACAAAATGGTCATAAGATTACACAGGGTATGTTTGCTTTGGTGACTGCAGCTGACTCATTTAAAGCATATTTGCCTTCTGCTAAATATACCATGGCATTATTTGGGGGAGAAAATGGTTGTTATTTTCTTCAGGTCACACAGCCATTTATTTTGAGGAGAACAAAGAGAGATGTGGAGAAACAGCTGACCAGGAAGTATGAGCATGTTCTGAAGTGCCGCCTTTCCAGTCGGCAGAAGGCCTTATATGAGGATGTCATCCTACAGCCTAGGTAAGTGCTGCTTTGCCCACCTGCCCCTCAACAATGAAAAGCAGATGCACCCTGTTGCCTCAGTGAGTATGCCTATAATTGAGTCAACCAGGAGCTCTGCCATCTCCAGAACATCCCCTCTTAACATTTCTGCTTATTCTGCCTTTAGATAAGTTTTATCTTCACACCTGCCATTTGTGTAGCTTGATGTCTGTTCTGCTGCCTGCTGCTCGTTGCATTAGCTTTGGTGGTTAGTGTGAACTCAACTGGTTGACCAGCTTACTCTTTAAAAGTAGCTACTGCTCTACTGGGTCAGTATGGTCTTTCTGGAAGGTAACCAGGGCATAGTTTCCATGTCATGTTACAGAATCCTGTGACCTGAATAGGTCATCTCCCAACTCTTGCCTGGTAGCCCTAAATGTCATTTAGTGGGCTCAACTTTTATCCTCTGAATCCTCTCCATGGCTGCTTTGATTTTTTTGTTCTCTCTGGTGTCTTATGTCTAAAACAAATTCAAGAACTGTGGAAATAAAGTTCAAATGGATTTTAATTTTAGACTTGGAGTTCTCAGGACTTAAACAGTACTCTTTCAACTCAAAACAGCTGAGAAGAGCCACATGTGTTTTTACTATGACCTCACATGATAGCAGTCTCTCATCTGTGGACCTAGTCCATATCCATCAGGCTAGTCTCACTCACCTGGCTCACAGGTTTCCCACTCTGGGTAGGAACATGGTGCTGTGGTTAAGGCACACTCAAAGCTGTCTTGTATGCACTTGCCTTAGCTAAGGCCTCCATCTACAGCTAAGGCAAGTGCATACAAGACAGCTTTGGGTGTAGGCTGTACCAGGAAGGCAGTGGGGCACAAGGCCCATTCATGATGGGCAGGTAGAACCTGGTCAGCCTCCTGCCACTTTTTGTTTGCTGAGCACAGGGTATATGTGAGTCTCTAAGAAAAAGTAATAACTGTCTAAAGTTCTTGGAGTAGCCTTTGGCTTCCTTGATGCCTTCAAGAAATGATTTGGCATTGCTGCACCATGTTTAAAAGGCTTACTGGAAATCTTGGGACCGAGTATAAAAGTGAATGGCTGCTCATTTATAGGCTGTTTCCCAGGAAGTCTTCGCCAAGCTGAATTAGTAATGAGACACTCAGCTTATCATCTAATGCTGAAGAGGAGCAGGGAATGCTCACTCAAAGCACTCACTGTATCAATCCCCCAAACACTGTAAGCTACTTGAGCAGAAAATACTTGGCCATGTTGATGTTTCAGCAAGATATTGACATTTTCTTTTTTTGACCTTAGTGATACACTAGTTCTAGCTAGTGAGAGGTAATTTTGTGGGAAGGGGGGAGCGTCTCTGGAGGTCAGGTGTCAGCAGGCAGGAGAAATATGGCTCAGTTACTCTTACATGACTTAGATCGCCCTCCATTAGGAGTTCTAGCAAATCATTGTTCAGGGAATTTAGATTGATATGTGACTGTTCCAGCTGGATAGTGAGGTGCTTGAGCTTGGGAGTGATGTCATCTTTTGTGAAAATGTCAGAGGTCATAGCATTGGATCTAGAACAGCTGTCTAAATGATCTTTTTCTGGTTCTGTGACACCTGCTCTGAAGAGGATAACAGTGAGACTTTTCCATGTTTCCTTCCTCCTCTGTGAGCCACAATTCAAGGGTTAGTGTGTTAAGCCATTGTGCATCCTGGTCCCATTTTTGGGTTTCTAGATACAATTAGGTGCTCAGACAGCCAGACAAAAACCTGAGGTAGGGCCCTCATTTCTATATTATACTGTCCAGATGCATAGAAACACTAAATCAGACACATTCGGGTTCTCTCGTGGCTTCTGGCTTTCTGAGGCAGCTTCATTTCTGCTCCTGTCTGCACATACTCACCCCCCCCCCCCCACACACACACCTGCCCTTTCTCTGGAAGCATCTATCATTCTTAGACTCAGGGAAGTAGATCCCAGTCTTCGCCCACTCGAAGCCAAACTTGGCAACTGTTTTTAAAATATCACATTCCACTTCTATTTATTCTTTTAAGCTAGATGGATAGTCTGTCTTGTTTATTATTCTGGTTTTGTGCCTAGCACTGTGCAGAGACTTTTATCACAGGACTCAGGGCTGGCTGTGTCTGGCTTTCCTGTTGTCCAAGTTAGGTTTACTGTGAAATTCTCTTTTGGCAATGTTTCTCAGGGTTCCCACTGTTCTCTGTTGTATACCTAAGTTGTTCCCGAGTAACTGAGACTGGCACTTCTCACCAGGAGCTCAGGCTACCTCCTGAGCCCAGTTCTTTCTAGGCACCTTTTTGATAAGTTGCTTGGGTTTGGAGCCTGCAGGCATCTTACTGTGGTTCTACATCCCTCTCTCAAGCTCTCCAGATGCCATTCTTCATTACCTGACTTGGGAGCCCCTTCCTCGTTCAAGAGCTTTATTCCATACTGCAGTTCCCTGATCCTGGTGTGCCTTGTGTATCTCTGATACTACAGCAGGGTTTGGCTTGAAGCCTGCTTACCATCTCATCTGTGCATTCTCCTTGCAGGACCAGGGGATGTGCTTTCTGGGGTATTCTGATCCCACCTTCTGACTTAACTGGTTCTTTTTACATGCCAATCCATACCTTGAGTGCTTCTACTCCCCAGGATAAGTGATCGTGATATTATTGAAACATGGTCCTTTTACAAAGGAACAGTCTTCCTTGAGATTTGGCTTGTACTAACCCTTTGTCTCTGGATCTCTAGAGTGAATTAGTAGAGACCTGTGTAGGAATGTAGACTTGAATGTGCAATATGACTAATTCACTGTCTTGGGAAATCTTGTTAGTTCCTATGTTTCTGAAATTAAGGTTAAGTAACTGATGATGAGACTGAACGATGAACGTACATTTGCCCTTGACACTGAACTCTTGCCTCTTCTCTATGAGCAGGACCCAGGAAGCTCTGAAGAGTGGACACTTTGTCAGTGTCTTGAGTGTCTTGACACGGCTACAGCGGATCTGTAACCATCCTGGGCTGGTAGAGCCACGGGTACCAGGCTCCTCCTATGCAGCAGGCTCTCTGCAGTATCGGTCAGCCTCTCTAATTCTCAGAGTTCTGGAGAGAGAGTTCTGGAAGGTAAGAGAGGGGATTTAGAAAAGTAGTGCAGGACTTCTAGTACTTACTTTCTAGATAAAATCCACATGGTTATATTGATTTCTTTCCAACTCTTCTTCTCTCAACCTTACTAATGTACAGTGTCTCAAGTTGTGACGCCCAACCATAAAATTATTTTTGTTGCTACTTCATAACTGTAATTTTGCTACTGTTATGAATCGTAATGTAAATATCTGTGTTTTCCAATGGTCTTAGATGACATCTGTGAAAGGGTCATTGAGGGTGCACACTGGTTGAGAACCACTGTCCTAGCTCTTTCTGTCTAGTTTCTGTCTGTGGGCTTATCTGGCTTTGCATAGCTGACAGAATTTTATCTGGATTCTTTCACACTTAGAGTATTTTCAAGGTTCATCCTCATTGTAGTACGTCAGAATGCCGTTCCTTTTAAGGACTGGGTAGCATTCTGTTGTGAAAGGCCACATTTTGTTTGTTCTTTCATCAGGTGATTTTCACCTCTTGCTATTAGTATTGCTGATGAGAACATTCCTATAGTTTGGATTTCATTGTTCTTGTGAGTCCACTTCAGGCCGAGCTCCTGGCTTACATAGCTTTTCCATCTACTTCTTTAAAGAACTGCCAGCTTGGGGGCTGAAGAGATGGCTCAGAGGTTAAGAACATTGTCTGCTCTTCCAAGGGTCCTGAGTTCAATTCCCAGCAACCACATGGTGGCTCACAACCATCTGTAATGGGGTTGGGTGCCCTCTTCTGGCCTGCAGGCATATACACAGGCAGAATATTGTATACATAATAAATAAATAAATATTAAAAAAAAAAAGGAACTGCCAGCTGAACCATTTGATTTGCCCTAGCAGTGTGAGGGTTTCCATAACCCTCTTTTAGTTTGTCTTTCATCCTCTTCAATGTATTGCTGCTTTCTTGTTATCTTAAGTTTCAAGAAATACATATTAGTGGTGCCACGGAAAGCAGGATACTTGCTCTTGTCAGGGCCATAAATCTTGTTAGTTCTCAGCTGCTTAGCCCCAAAGTAATCACACAGAAACTATATTATTTAAATCACTGCTTGGCCCATTAGCTATAGCTTCTTATTGGCTAACTCTTACATATTAATTTAACCCATTTCTATTAATCTGTGTATGGCCACGTGACTGTGGCTTATGAAAATTGGCATCTCTCTCCGGCAGGGCGACATGGCTTCTCCCTCTCTCTGCTTTCTTCCTCCTAGCATTTAGTTTGGTTTTCTCCGCCTAGCTAAATTCTGCCCTGCCATAGGTTCAAAGCAGTTTCTTTATTCATTAATGGTAATCACAGCATACAGAGGGAACTCCCACATCATCTCTCCTTTTCTGTTTAAATAAAAAGGAAGGGTTTAACTTTAACATAGTAAAATTACATATAACAAAGCCGGTATCAATCAAGAATTACAGTTACAGTATTTATATTTACTTTATCTTTTATCACAACTAAGGGAAAGTGTAACTATAAATTCCTCAACTCCATCAAAGACTCTAGAAGATTATAATATTACTTAAGCAAACAGGAAGTGCATTGCAAGCAACTTCCAAAACTCTAGAATTGACAGAGACATCTTGCTGTGTGAACAGTCATCCAAAGTTCTTCTGTATTGTTGGGGCATCCATCTTCAGCCTCTAACCCGACAGACTTTTCCATGAAGCAGGAAATTTCAAAGACAGTTCTGCCTGTATTGACAGTTTGTCAGTCACTTTCTTCATGTCCTGCAGAATGTCTGGCAGAATGTCATGAAGCAGGAACCCTGAAGGACTGTCTCACTTTTAGGCAAGTTCAGCAGTCATTTTTCTGTGGGTGCTGCATGTCCAGTTCACACAGCATACCTTCAAGCAGTCTAGGCAAGGGCAGTTTCTTGCCCAAATGGCTAGCAAACTCCATGAGGAGCCTCTTCGATGCCCATCTTCCTCTTGAAGTAATTGCTGCTGCCAGGAGCAGATGTGTCTCATTGTCATGAAAAGTCCTAAAATTTAAAACATTTTAAATGCCATATTCTGTAGTCTCTGAAAGGTTTGAAGAGTGCTTATCCATCTGAAATATATCTCTATACATATAGAAAATCTAACTAACATGACTACAAGTTTGATTATTATATATGATTATCTACTAACCTATATTTCTTAATTATACATTACATTTTTAGTGAACTATATACAGTCACAATACTTTAATCAAAA